AAGCTCAAGTATGAGCTTCATCAGAAGAACTGGAAGTTACAGCATGCAAGTAGATAAATCCTTCTGGTCTTATGGCTTTTGTGTTTAAGACATACAAGGAGGCTGAATTTTCCCACATTAGCTCTGCCAAACAGAGTGCATATACACATAACGTGATAATGGCAGAATGGCAGACTCCTCTCAGGACTATCACAGGGGACTGATCAACCCCCATTTTCTGAGGGTGAAACCCAACAAGAAGAGTCAATGGGAAGGGCTCTTCAGAGCGCTTTACAGAATGAAGGGGGTTGCTGCCTACTGGGGCCTGGAACTCATAAATTGCTACAAAGGGCATCTGAAGATTGCACAAGGCTTATAATAAGATTTTTTAAAGGAAAAAAATCAAGGACAAGCAAAAGGGACAGATGAAGGTTGTTCAAGGAGGAACAAGCACAGGAAAATAAAAGGAAAAAAGCAGCCACCTTTACACAGGTGACTGGTCAGTATGCTTGTCCAGCACCCTATTGCCACAGTCTGTCCTATCTTCTCGTTAAGCTACATTCCTAAATGTTTTCCTGGATGAAGGGACTCTATTCTGCATCCATAAGTGTATGTGGAAGTGTACATGCAAGTGGCTGAAGCTGGACCACACACAGGTCATAGGGCACAGGTACCTGATCTGGCAGCAAGCAGAGAGGCCAGAGCCCACACATACTGCCTGGGTACATGTGTCAGGGTGTGATTGCTAGACACTAAGCTGGACTAGCTGGCAAGTAGGATAAGAGGATTGGGAGCCAAGTATTGGAGCAACCATGAGCCTGGGCCAGATATCAGAGATACCAGAGAGTCTGAGATTTGGCTACTGGAGGGACCAGGAAGACCAAGCGCGTTACTGGAGAGACCAGGATATCTGGGGGTTGGCTACTGGTAAGTCTAGCTACCAGGGAGAGATGTTTGTATGTATGCATCTCCTGTGCACAAGGCAACTGGGAGACCAGTGGATCCAGGAGCCCACCACTAAGTAGACCAAGTGTCTAAGGCCAGTTACTGGAGGGACCTATGCTGTGTTTTTACCTGTGGGAGCACAGGTCTGAGTACCAGCAAATGGACTGAGAGCTGTGGGCCTTTGTGGTTCATATGCCCACGTGCCCGCAGCTGAGGTGTCCAGCAAATCAAGGAGCCAGCTACTAAACAGACTGAACACAAAATCAGTTACTGGAGGGATCTATATTCTGTCTGTGTGTGTATCTACAGACAGATTATATGTATACTCATTTATTTTCCACAAACAGGTTTTCACCCCAATCAGCTAGAGAGGGGAACAGGACATGCCCATTGGCGCTGCTTGTGTTTACTTAAGCGCTGTGTTCGCTGTCTGTGTTGGCCTGTGTTAGCAGCTGTGTGTATATGCCTATATGTATTGTACATACGTGTGCCTATTAGGAATACCTGCTCAGCCTCACTATTGGCTGGACCTTGGGACACAGGGCTATGGCAGCTTTGCTTCTGTCAGGCTTCCAGATTTAGCAGCTCTTATCACAAACAAAATTAAACATAACTTTGTTAAAGCCTTCTGAATTATAATTCCAACCATTATGGAATCAAGATGATAAGCAGTCATGAAATGCTCTTTTAAAACTCCACTCATTACACAAAGTATTAGCAATTAAATGAACCCTCAAACAAAGAGAAAGATCATTATCAGTGTAATTAATTATGAGGAAACAACAGTGAATTAACAGTAAGATAGATGTTGAAATGTCTGAGGTGGCTCCAAGAGAAGTGACTTTCATCCAGCAGTGTTAGTAACCAGTAATGTTGGTGACCATGAGATGGTGAAGTTTAGGATCCTGAGTGAAAGAAGCAGGGCAAAAAGAATTACAACCCTGGACTTCAGGAGAGATGACTTTGGCCTCCTCAAAGACCTGCTTGGAGGAATCCTATGAGTTAAGGCTCTAGAAGGAAAGGGGGTGCTAGAGAGCTGGTTAATATGCAAGCACCACTTCCTCCACGCTCAAGATCTCAGTACATCCCTAGGAGCAGGAAATCAAGCACAGGAAGCAGGACACCTGCATGGATGAGCAAGGAGCTTCCGGAAAAACTCAAATGGAAGAAGGAAGCTCACAGAATGTGGAAAAAGGGACTGGCCACTTGGGAGGAATATAAGAATGTTGTCAGAGTATGCAGGGATGCAACAAGGAAGGCTAAGGCCCACTTGGAATTAAATCTGGCAAAGGATGTCAAGGACAGCAAGAAGGGCTTCCTCAAATACATCAGTAGAAAAAGGAAGACTAGGGAAAACATGGGCCCGCTGCTGAATGAGGTGGGTGTCCTAGTGACGGAGGATGCAGAGAAGGTGGAGTTACTGAATGCCTTCTTTACTATAGTCTTTACTGCTAAGGCCAGCCTTCAGGAACCCCAGACCCTGGAGGTAAGAGATAGAGTCTGGAGAAAGGAAGACTTTCCCTTGGTTGAGGAGGATCTGGTTGGAGATCATTTGGACAAACTCGACGAGGGCTGAGGGAGCTGGTAGATGTTATTGTGAAGCCACTCTCCATCGTCTTTGAAAGGTCATGGAGAACGGGAGTCTTTACTGCTAAGGCCAGCCTTCAGGAACCCCAGACCCTGGAGGTAAGAGATAGAGTCTGGAGAAAGGAAGACTTTCCCTTGGTTGAGGAGGATCTGGTTGGAGATCATTTGGACAAACTCGACGAGGGCTGAGGGAGCTGGTAGATGTTATTGTGAAGCCACTCTCCATCGTCTTTGAAAGGTCATGGAGAACGGGAGAGGTGCCTGAAGACTGGAGGAAAGCCAATGTCACCCCAGTCTTCAAAAAGGGCAGGAAGAAGGACCCAGGAAACTACAGGCCAGTCAGCCTCACCTTCATCCCTGGAAAGCTGACAGAACAGCTCATTCTGGATGTCATCTCCAAGTATGTAGAGGAAAAGGTTATCAGGAGTAATCAACATGGATTCACCAAGGGGAAATCATGCTTGATCAATCTGATAGCCTTCTATAATGGCATGACTAGCTGGGTAGATGAGGGGAGACCAGGGGATGTTGTCTACCTCAATTTCAGCAAGGCTTTTGACACTGTCTCCCATAACATCCTCATAGGTAAGCTTAGGAAGTGTGGATTAGATCAGTAGATAGTGAGGTGGATTGAGAACTGGCTGAATGGCAGAGTTCAGAGGGTTGTGATCAGTGGCACAGAGTCTAGTTTGAGGCCTGTAACTAGTGGTGTTCCCTAGGGGTCATTCCTGGGCCCAGTCTTATTCAACATATTCATCAACGACCTGGATGAGGGGGCAGAGTGTACCCTCAGCAAGTTTGCTGATGACACAGAACTGGGAGGAGTGGCTGACACACCAGAAGGCTGTGCTGCCATACAGCGTGACCTGGACAGGCTAGAGCACTGGGCACAGAGGAACCTAATGAAGTTCAACAAGGGCAAGTGTAGGGTCCTGCACCTAGGGAGGAATAACCCCGTGCACCAGTACAGGTTAGCGGTTGACCTGCTGGAAAGCAGCTCTGCAGACAGGGACCTGGGAGTCCTAGTAGACAATAAGTTGATGATGAGCCAACAGTGTGACTTTATGGCCAAGAAGGCCAGTGGTATCCTGGGGTGCACTAAAAAGAGCGTCACTGGCAGGTTGAGGGAGGTTATCCTCCCCCTCTACTCTGCCCTGATGAGGCCACATTTGGAGTAGTGTCCAGTTCTGGACTCCCCAGTTCAAGAAAGACAAGGAGCTGCTGGAGAGAGTACAGCAGAGTGCTATGAAGATGATCAAGGGACTGACTGAAGCCCCTCTTTTATAAGGAAAGGCTAAGAGGCCTGGGTCTGTTTAACCTGGAGAAGAGAAGACTGAGAGGGGATCTCATCAATGCTTATAAATATCTAAAGGGTGGGTGTCAAGAGAGGGGGGCCAGACTCTTTTCAGTGGTGCCCAGCGACAGGACAAGGGGCAACGGGCACAAACTGGAACAAAGGAAATTCCATCTCAACATAAGGAAAAACTTCTTTACTTTGAGGGTGACAGAACACTGGAACAGGCTGCCCAGAGAGGTTGTGGAATCTCCTCTGGAGATCTTCAAAATCCACCTGGATGCATTCCTGTCCAGTGTGCTCAAGGTGAACCTGCTTTGGCAGAGGGGTTGAACTAAACGATCTCCGAAGGCCCCTTCCAACCCCTACCATTCTCTGACTCTGTAACCCAGTTCAAGTGCAATGCTTCCAAGATGCACTCAGCTCCTGAGGTCATACACCTGCATTCACATAATGCAGAACGTCCCTATGCTATATCTGTGGTCAGGGCACATGAAGAATGGGAAATGAAGACATTCAACCAACCCCACAGAGTCATTCAGGTCCATCAAAGTGCATTTGCTACAGTTCAGACAATTCAGTATCTTTGCAGCGCTTACCACCTAGCTTTTCAGAGTAATATTCATATACCAGGGTAACAAATGAGTAAGCACATACATATGAATGAACAGAGCCAGTTCTGCTCTGATGCTGCAGTGGAGTTAGCAGCTCATGCTTGAACCTTGAGTGCCCACTGGAGACACTGAAGAAAACAGCTCAGATCTTGCACTGAAGAAAAGAAACTCTCACAAATTCTGAAAAACGTGAATCTGCTCAGAACAGTTAGCATTATCTGCATGAAGCCCACAAGATCTCCAAATTACACCACTTCTCCTCTATTTAGGGTATTCGGACTCTTGTCTTGACATTACTCTGGGTTAGAGGGAGTTTACTATAGTACTCCTCTGGAAGACACACACCTGAATAGCGGCACTACCAACTGGCTTCTAAAACATCGACTTTTTTCCCTTTGCTATTTTAAAAAATCATTTAACATTTGTTTCTTTCACTCTCTACCCAGGAGAACACCAAATAATGCCAACATTGCACGACCTATATATTAGTAATTCATAAAAGTTTAGTAAGTAGTGTTATCATTCATTAGCTTTAAAATTCTCTTGTGATACATGGCAGTAAATGAGAAAAAACATCTTACCAGCTTTGGGCGTGTTTAGTGTTTTTATTTCCATCTTGCTACACTTATTAACGCTGAAACATCCTTTTGTAGTCTTTACTTTCCCAGTTGACTCCACAGACTGTGTAAAATTTGCATTTTGATTTTGGCCATATATTTTAGAAAGCAATAAAGCACTTTCCTCTTTCTCATCTATCTGCAAATGAAAAACAAGTTCACAATAGCATTTCCTTCACGCAGTTGAAGAGAAATGGAGAAAAGAGCAACGAGAAGGGATCTTAATAGATACTAATCCTCATGATCAAACTATCTACATAAATACATACATCCCTACCCAAATATATGCATCCCAGTGTTCCCAACAAAAAGCAGAAGCACACAATACCAAACACCACTTGTGCAAGTAGTTTATGAATTGAATTTAATAGAAATCTTCGGTAGATAAAATCAATATAAATTGTGATGCTTTTTTGGGTTGATATTAAAGGTTTCAGAGAAAGTTCCTTGCAGCAAAACTGCGACTCGATGTACTGACATTTCATTACCATCTTGGTTTTTTTAACTGTTTTTGCCAAAGCTTTACAAACATTTGAATCCAACAAAGCCCAGGCCAAGATGCAATTCATACCTCAGCTACACTGAGAATTGTATTTGGGCTCAATACTGATAACTTTTATTTATTTGAAAAACATTTTTCTGCATCCACTTCACAGAGTGAGAGAAACCTACCTAAGAAGCAAGATCAAATGTAGTAAGAGCAAAGGTATCAAAATCTATTCTGAACAGATTGATTATTTAAGCAGAGATTGTGGTGATCTCAGATGTTATCTTTTAGTAACAATACTGTACAAACAAATATACTTTCTAGTGCACTGTTCAGTTTACCTCCTTTAATTTCATTTCTTGGTCCATCTCCTTAGTTTCATTCTTGAGACAAACTGTGATACTTTTTCCTGGTGGTATAAACCTTGGCTTTTTGGCTACATTTCCTAGCACTTGACTTGGAGCTGCTGATCGTCTCATTTTCAGTTGTACTCCTCTGGAGGGTGGAGAGGAAGGAAGGAAGCAGATAAAGACAACTGTAGTTAGAATAGGCTTTAAATATAAAAATATATCCATAGATAAAAATAAGCACTATTTGAAAACAAAATAAAAGATAGTATGAATTATTTTCAAAGAATAATCTTAATTCACAAGCATAATTGTTGCAATGCATTGTTTAAGTACTAAAAAAGATCGTCTACAGCAAATTCTGCAGTTGAACACTTCTTTTTCCATTTGAAAAGCCAATAATGCAGTTCTTAATAGCAAGAAATGCTCTGGAGATCTGCACTGTAGGGCTGCTTAACAAACTTTCACCAGTATAAAAAGAAAGACAATTCGAAACAGAACTAACTATTCTAAACACTTAAAACATAATTTTGAAAAGCCCATTATTACTGCACAATGAACAACGAATGTTGAAGGTATATCTGTGAGTAGTATTTTGCATTAAACAGTCAATTGTATTGGTCATTCAGATTCACTACAAGAAGATTAGAATTCAGAAGAAAATTATCTCAAAATTACAGGAGTTTATCACTCCATGTTATGTCCACTTGAACAGGGGAAGGTTTTCCCTCAAAATATGACCATTATTCCCTAAACAACCTCAGAACAAAACCAAACATACACCCATGTTAATATGATAAAGCATACTTGCAACCACTAGAATAACAACTTATCTTAATACTTCAACGTATTAGAAACAAAACAAGAAAAAAAATCCAATAGAATAACCCAGCAGCTGAAATGATGAAGACAAGCATGGTACAGCAATATATGGAACATACTTTAGTTTAATTCTCCATTCATACATGGACTATTTATTTTAATTGACACCCCTCCCCCCCAACTACTAGGTATAAATAAACCATAATACGATTGCAGACACAAACTTCTTTACCTCTCTACCATCTTGAAAGCCTGTTTGCATCCTGTTGCAACAGCCAGCGTGTTGCTACACTTTTTTGACACTACTCTGCACTCCAGTGGCTTAATAGGGCACAACAACCTTTCTTTCCAAGATTTCGATAGAAGTAGTAACAGAGTACTGTCAAAATATTTTGTAAACATGCAGACACTAGTGTGAGTACTGCTGTCTCCTTCATATCTGAACAATTATACATATGATATATATATATGATGCTGTTACTAGATGCAAACCTTAATGGCAAAATGGCTTGAACTGTTGTCACTTCTATGATGTCTATTATTAAAAATACAAGGAAAGAGGCCTCTGGCTGTGTCAACAGCAGTTCACATGTTACACCTACTCGACAACAGTGTTAACATATGAACTTCCGTTAACCCTATGCAATAAAGGAGTAGCATGGTTATTGTAACAGGAATACCTGCAGTGTAAACAACTGGAAGCCTGTGTGAAAGCTGCAAAGGTATCAAGAACCTTCCAGAGGAGCAGACTACAAGTGCCAGTACCAGCTGGCTGACCACAGCCAGCTTCAGGTGCCATGTGAATTTGAACAAGTTCTCTACCGAATCCTATAATGCATGGTGACGCTTGGTAAGACAACGCAGGACACCCCATGACTGTACATGAGGACTATGCACTGCATGGCTGAATTGCTACACTAACCCTGCCCACTTCACTTCCTGAGCTTGTCACATCTCCCATTGAACAGGGGCGTTATGCAATTCATCAATTACATGTATCTGTGATTAAAGTGTTTTGGTTTACAAATCCATTTGGACTTTGCACTGTCATTTGGTCTTAAACCACAAAACCAGACTCATTAGAGTCATTAAGAGATAGCAAGAAATTTAAAGATATGACCTTTGATAACTCAGTAACTTCACTCCCGTGAAATTTAAGAACATGTAAGAGTACTACCAGTGTTACCTACTTGCAACTACAAAAAAACATTAGGGTGTTGTGTTTTTTAAAATGTAATATTGCTTCCAGCAATACATCTCTCTCTGCGTCTTCAAAATGTAAGCTTTTATAAAGTATAATAAAAATATAAAATACAAAAAATAATAACTAACAGGTTGATATATTGTGTCAGTACTGTACAGGAAAAAGGACATTATGGATGCACAACAACTGCTAGATCTTTTAGACAGGAACAGAGTAGGTGTAACAAGGGCAAAGAAGAGCTCCACATTACAACTAAATCAAGTGACAAGTAAATACGCCCTTTCTCCTGAGACAGCCACCAATACATTGAATCACCCTGTACTTGCCATACCGTTAGGTATGGTTGCAGGGAAACAGCTGGAGGTAATGAGGAAAGCACTGCTCCTGCCTTCTGATAGCTTAAACAAATTAAGTGTACCATGAAACCACATCCTAAAACGTCTCATGAATGCATCTGGTTTTGTACGCATTGAATTTTTCTCCTTAAAGGTATCATAACAGCTGCATTAAAACAAAACACATCTACAAATAATATTACAAAATTTTACGCATGCAACTCAACACAGCATGCATGGAGTTCTGTTAAAAGAAGTTACATTACCCATTTTAGGACAAATTTAACAGGCTGCTCCCCCGAACATTTGAAGAGACATTCCTGGCATAGATAACTGGGCTAAACATCTTTTATAGGCAAGTACAAAGACGCGACACAGAATTAAATATTACTCAGTTAAACTGCAGGCAGCGCGTGCATCGCCTTGGATATCAGTATTACCGAAAGATTACCTCAGGTGAATAATAACTGTAAGGAACTGGACCAGGCCCAAACGCAACGCTATACAAACTGCTAGTAACCCGGCCCACCCCGCCTCAGCCACCCGGTAACAGCCGCGGGGAGAGGAGGGAAAATCCCACAGGAGCTGGAAGCACCCAGCCGGCTCCCCGCGAGAAGA